GAGAATCACGTGATCTACAAGATTAAAAATTGTGTTCATTTTATATTTAAAGGGTGATTGGAAAAGAAATTTATATATCTTGGAAAAGATATTTATTAGTAATCTTCTCCATTTCGCGTTTTTGTACTACTGCTTTTAAATAGTATGTTCGTTTTAAGATTAATAATATGAGAAGGAAGAACATCTTGCCTTCTACATCGTAACAGAAAAATTAGTTGTTGGTTACAGCAATAATCTTTTTCTCGTTGTTAATCCAAGTTTTCAAAAGTGTTGTGTGATAAGTACCGAACCTTCTCGAGATCATGCAAAAAATCCTTCCACTTGTGTGGGCTTCATATCCAGGTCCAGGAGGGTAAAAATGCGATTCTCAAATATCTACGTTTTTAAAAATAGTTTGTAGTTCTTATTAGATTTTGTTTTGTTTGTAATTTTGTTCTTATATTTTTATAAAAAAGGCAATTTTGTGAATTTTTGAAAATATTCACAATAGGTACCAATTGTTTTTACAATTTTTCATCACTTTTTAAGATATTTTTATATTATATTGTAACTTTTACACAGTGCGGTTTAAATAAAAAAAAAATAAAAACATGTAGTTGCAAATAATACGTTATTAGAAAAAGGGCGACTGTATATATTTATAAAGATGCATTACGTGTTTTGTAATGTAATTATTGCTACATTGCATACATATTTTATACATATCAAATGTGGTTGTTTTTACTAAATTATATTTTCTTCTTCAAAATTACAAAAAATATGAACATATTTAATTAAAATAGAATTAATTATTTTTCCTTAATATTACAAAAATAATTGCATAAATATTATCAATTTTTTTTTTTCTTGTTTAATAGTTTTATATATGTACATATGTGTATATAGGTATATTGTGTGTGTATAAATTTTTTTATTATTTTGCAAAAGATCACATTCTATCGCGCAAATATAATTTTGGCGGAATTATTAATATAATCAGCGTTAAATATATATTAAGAATTTAATATTATATACATATATATTGAGAGAGAGTATACATATACTACAGTATAATCAGATAAATCTTTTTTTATCAATTTACGATTAAATTTATTTATAAGATTACTTAAAATTTATATAATAAAAATATATAAAAATAATTTATATTAAATATAGTATAATAAAATTATAAATAACAAATTATATAATAAAATATATAATTTTATATAAAAAATTGAGAAATCCCTGATAGAAATGCAATAAATCTTTTTATATTTATAATCGCAACGTGAAAAGGATTGTCGATACTTTCTGAAGTTTTACTTTTTAAATCATTTTCTTCATTTGAAGCCAGAACAGTCTCGTTGAATTTCTCTTCGAAATTATCAATAAATGGTTCCACAGACTCCGTACAATTTTGCGCGTTTTTTAAATCGTCGATAATCTCATTTTGTAACTTTGGAGTAACCTTTTTATTGAACGATGATAATTTTTCATTGCTCTTTAAGATGTTTTTAAATTTTTATCTTTTTCTTCATTTTTTACGAAAAAATTTTCTTTTTATATAAATAATTCTTCTGACGAGCTTTTACAAAGTCTTCAAGCAGATTGTCGCGATTTTTTCTGTCTATTTGAGTTTGTAAATAATTTGTTTCTGCCTCTTTTTCCGTTATCATTTTTTCCTTTTCTTGTTTATCAATATTGTTTGTATTTAAAACATTTTCGATGTTTTCGTCTTTTATATTTTCAGCCATAGAAAATTTATTTGATTTTGACTGCATCTGATAAAAATAAAATATATTAATTAAATTAAAATAGAATGATACTAATATTATAAAGAAATATGTATATTATAGCAACAAAATGTACATAATATAATTATCGAGTAATTATCATTAAAAAAAATAATTACTAATAATCTGTTATATTAGTTATAGCTTGCATAATATAAGTTCTCTAACATTAGTACAAGTTATAGCTTTTAGCTCATATTGAGAGAGTTTATTTCATAAAATATATTGTCTGATCGTTACGTAAAACATGTCTTTTTTTCATCTAAAAGATAAATCGCATGTTAAGAGAATATTTATACCTCATCTCCTATTTGATTTATGCCTTCATTGATTCTGTTTCTGATCTCTCTTCGCTGTCTTGTTTTCTCATTTTCTCTCCAGGGAAATAATAAAAACATTCCACATTCATCAGATGACATTTGGTTGTTCATTTTTAAACAATTGATTTTTTCCTTTTTAATTTTTACGTCTTCCATTTCAGACTCACGATTAATCCCAACATCTTCGACATCTACAGAAACATTCTGCATACTTTCCGATGAATTAGCTGTTTTATCCGAAATATTTTCAGTACTATCATTTAGCAGATCTGAAAGATCTTCGTATACGAGTTCTTCTGAAGAATCTGATATTGTTCGTGGCAAATATTCACTCTCAAAACGAGGAATCTCGAAACTTTCTAACAAATCATCATCAAAATCTTGCACTTCCAATCTTTTATACGAATCCTCATTCTTAGTCGGTATAAAGACGATATACTTTGGTGACTTGTATTTTTTCTCAATTTGCCGATTGATTTCCAAGTCTTTCTTCGAGGAAGCCAAATAGTTTTTTAATTTTTGTAACAAGATGCTGTTTAATGGCGATTCATCTTCTTTTCTCAACAAATGGATCGGGATTGGTGGGTCACTAAATATTTCTTCAGAGTCTTCTGTCAAGTAATCATACATATCAGAACTTGATTCATCTTGGACATCTGTTCTCGTTAATCTAAAAATCAAAAGAATAGGACGTTCAATTAATGCTATAATAAGCATAAAAATAATATAAGACAATATTAGAAGTTTATAATTATAGAGCAATTAAATGTTAACTTACATAAAAATAATAATATTATTTATTATCTTTCAATTACATACAAATATATAAATATAAAAAATAATTTTATTTAATAAAAGAAAATAAATAACAATAAAATACGTTACAGAAAATGTAGCAGTTGCTTTAAATATTTGTCTCTCCTTTGTGTATTAATATCTCTTTGTCTTCTTGCATTTCCTCTTTTAAATTTGCTTAATTTAATATTATCACCAATAATTTCTTCAACATTTTTGTTTGCTTTATCGTTATTAAGCATCTCTACATGTATATTATTTTGTATCTCCTCATTTGAATTGTATGGTTTAATAATTTCTCGAGTGTCTTTAGCTATTTGATATATGTCATCCGCTATATTTTCTCTCTTATTAGCCAAATAGTTCATTCTATATTCTAACTCTGTAATATCATTAAATTTTTTTATATTTAACATTTCTTTATCTGTATCGACATTTTTAAAAATCAAATTTCTTTCAGTATCTTCAGCATCTTCAGTTTTTTTAACATTTAATATATCTTCTTTTTCACCATGATAACGAACAGATTTTTCATTTTTAATTCTTGCATCTTTTGTCAATTCCATATTTTTATCTGTTATAGACATGTCTGAGTTATCATGCTTTGATTCAAGATTTTTGTAAATATTATTTAAGTCAGCTGCTGTTTTATCGTTTACATTTTGATTGATATTCTGTCCATCAAAGAGATTTTGCGCAAATCTCGCGAGATCGTTCGGTCGATAGTTTTTATTAATCGATATTCTCTTCATGTATTCTAATAACTTGGAAACTCGATGTCCATCGTCTTCATTATATTTTGGATAACGTGTTTCTTTTACAAACTCAATAGGAATTTCGTAATTTTTATTATTAGTATCCTTGTAAAGAACGTCGTCATCGATCAAAACTCCAATAAACCCTCCCTGATCGATCAGATGACGAATATCGTCGCTGTCCCAAATTTCTCTTCTCTTCAGGTTCCGTGTTTTCGCGTCCATAACCTTCATTAATTCATTGTGATAAGATTGTAACAGTGTCTTCATGAGCCTTTTGCTCATCTTGCCCATCTGCTTTAAGTTCTGAGGCTTATTTAAGTTCTTCATATATCTAGCGAATTCTCTTGATGCTTTAAGATGTGTGGTTTTCAATTTCTTTGCGTCGCCATTTTTCTTCGACTGCGTCGAAGCTTTGGGTTTCATATTTTGATCATCCTCTCCATTCTGTTGCCCATTATCATTTGATTTTGGTAAAATTGTTTCTGTCGTAGTTTGCTCTTCGGAAATTTTCGTTGTTTCGGAGGAACTCATTGACTTCTTTAATCTAAGTTTATCGTTATTGTCGCGCCATTTTTCGTCCTTCTGCCTTTGGGTGACTGCTTTTGGACAACTTGAACCATCGGCTTTTTCCTCCTCGCTGATGAGGTTTTGCGTTTCCTCGCGAGTTGTCTCCTGCGCGATCTCAGTCGCGGAGGAAACAACAAGTTCCTGAAGATCGCTCTTATCAGTCGAATAAATCTCAGGCACAATTTGGGAACGATCATACGTCGTTGTCTTCCTGTCCGATTGGACGTCTGGTGATTCGGCACGAAAAAACTTTTGTTCTACAATGTTGTTATTGTCGACAATATTACTGTTATTGGAATTTTCTTCACTGATGGGAGAAAATTCCGAATTCACGAACCTCTTAATATTGTTTACATTACGATGTTGCTCCGAGATTTCATTTATTTCTGAATTATCCATCATTGGTGTCGAACTTATCTCGATCGTCGACGTTTCGTAGCTTGGTCCATATTTCAACGCGTTTGATTTTGAAGTTATGGTTTCTGCAGTTGTATCATACACTTCATAATCGGATTCGAATTCGTAATCAGAGTTCATTGTGGCACTTGGAAGTATCTGCTCTCCTTCCATAATTTTCTCGTATTCTTCTTGTGTCATAGAATCTTCAACATTTCTCTTCGATTGCGCGCTTCCTATGTTTACACTCGCTATTTCTGAAGAAGAATCCGCGAGGATTTCACTATCGCGTTTTGCACGTCGAAGTTTTTTCGACAAATGAGAAGCTTGGATGATTTTGTAGTTTTTCGAATTTTCCTCGTTTTCTTTGATCATTTTATTAGTGAGAATTTTTTGCATCTTTGCCTTCGAATTGCTTCTTTTGGTTCTTCTATTATGAAGAATGGGGTATTGTATTTCGTGAATGGAATATTCATCCGTGTTTACGTCAGCAGGTCGAGAAAATTTGATGGTTTCTGCATTAATATTGCCTCTATCATTTGATATATTCACGTCAAAAATCTCATCTTTATTCGATTTTTTTTCTTCATGTCTCGTATTTTTATTATTATAATTTATGGCTTGCGAAGGTTGATAAAAGAAACTCGAAGCCCCTGATGGAATTTTTAGTTTTCTTCCTCCGACTTGATGGTTGATAGAAATTGGACTTTTGACAACTTGACTTTTTGTACTATATTCTTGTTCTTTGGAATCATAATAATTAATCAACTTTTGCATACCGTTTTCTACAGCCCGTTTTTCCTCTTTCTCGAAAAGAGGTGTCTGTTCTTGAAAAACTCTGCTGTTTTCTTGGGGGAAAAATTCCGCTTCCCACAGATCGCTATAATTTTTCGGATTCTCTTGGACTCTTGCATTCGACACCTTGACATTTTCAAAGAACTCATTCGGTATATAATCATTTTCCATTTCCAACCACGTGTCGTCTTCCGCGTGATCCTGCGTCTCCAATTCCTTCCTATTTTGCGTATTTTTTACCATCGAAGCGTTCTCATTGCTTTCGTCTCGAACGTAATCGTAATCTTGATTATTTTGCTCCAACGAGTCTCCCGTGGTGATAAAAATGTCGCTTTCGGGGAATCCTTTGACAGGCTTGCGCCGAAGAAAGCCGTAGAAATTGTTTTCGCTGCTGTCGGTGGTCCTCGGATTAAATGGTATCAATAATTCATCCCTCCGTTTCGTCTTCCTTTCATTTGTATCCTTCACATTGTCGAATCTCGAACGTTTCTTGAGAGCATTCTCTTTTCTTAGGCCTATCTCGACTAATTTCTGGCCGACATCTCTCCTCACTCTTCCAGATTCTTGCACTGAATGCTGATGATCGTTTGTGTCATTAATCTTCTCTTCTTCATTGTCTTGTTGAATGATATTTTTATGTCGCTTCGATAATTTCTTTCTCATTAAGTTCTCGGCCGGTTCTTCCTCAGGATAAACGCAGGCTTTTACCTATATTAAATTGATATTATTTTAGTTATTTTTATTTTTTTTCATTTGACAAGCAAAATATTTTATTTATTACCTTTGCGTTAGGTATTACCCAGAAACCTATATTCCCAGAAGAGAGTTTCAATTCGAGGTCATCAGGCTTGATGACTATTTTTGGATTTAGATTAGGCAACTTCTTATCGTTTATTAAATCGAGTGGTTTATTATTTAATAAGACTTTCCTGAAAAATAATTTTTTTAAATTTGTCGTTACAGTTGATAGAAAATTTTTAAAAATATGAAGAAGGATCAATTTTTTTTAATAATTAAAATGGAAAAATATGTTTATTACAAGTGATAATACTAGAAAATTCAAATATTGCTCTCCCTCTAAATAATAATTCATTTTTTCATTCTCTTTTTTTCTTATCTGTTATTAGTACAATTAAATAAAGCATTTGATCAGAAGATAAGATTTTTTTACATAAATATTATTGATATTATATATTAATATGTATATAGGATATACAAAAAAGTAAAATCCCTTAATTTTACAAAAACTACATTTTCGAAAAAAATATTTTATATAAAATTAAAAAAAAATTTTTTTAAATAAAATTATCAAAAACTAAATATTTTACGAGATATTCTGTATTTTTTTTATTAAAATATGTTAGGTTAATAATAATATAATAATATATTTTATTCAATTTTCTGCTGTTTTACCTTTATGATTTTTATGCAAAATTATAAGGAATCTATTTACATAAAATTAAGGGTAATTTTATTTTAAAAAATTGAATTTTAAAATAATCTTGAAAAAGTTACTCAAGGTCAAAATGATAAGGCTAATTTTTTTAAATATATTTTTTTAAATCATAATTTTTATATAAAACATTTTTTTTCGAAAATGCATAGTTTTCGCAAAATTAATTCGATTTTTTGTACATTCTGTATAATATTATTATTATTATAGGTGTAAAAAAATTTTGCTATATTATGTTATAAAGTTACTTACTCTGATAACATTTTGTTGCCAGTTTCGGAATTCGGCGATAGAATGTATTTGTGAAGAGTTTTGATTTTAAGGCCTTTTAAGTTAGCAGTCACTTCCCTCGGTGTCAAATTTACACCAAAAATAGTAATGGCTCCTTTATCGTATAAGGCAGATGGTTTCGTGCATTGACTGTAGAAGTGTACGTAACTTTCGTTGTTTAGTGATTGAAGTTTTAGCTTCAAAACTTGGCGCCCCACCAAAGTCTTGTGCAATAAGGATACCCAATAATCCTGATTAAAAAGTAATATTGTTAATATAATAATGTATCTTACAATTTTGCTTATTTTATCTTAAATACGTAAAATTTCTCTCACATACAATTTTTGATATAAAAAAAAAAATGTACACATTTTTTCAATTATTATTAAAATATATTAAATTATATAGTTAGATATTGTATGATTGTTTTTGATAATTATATTATGTGCCTACATGTATGTGTAAAAACCAATTAAAATTGTAGTTCATATTTAATTTCGAGAATACTTGAACACATTTCGAATATATGTATATCGAATATATTTATAATATTAACTTACAGGAGTTGCCTTATAAAAGTTTGATGGTTGTCTCATTACAACTTGTATGCCAAGTTTTGCAGCATTTCCGAGTCTTGTCGTCCAAATAAGCGCTCCTAAATATTTGTCTTTAAACTCTTCGGATTTTGATTCCGCTATTATACATATAATAAAATATACACATAAATAATTATATATATAATAATTTTATATTTAAATATACATATAAAATTTATGTAATATAAAACTTAAAAATTGGATATGCAAATGCAGCATTTAAATATAAAATTTCAAAATATACAATACATACATTAATATAAATATAATGATATAAGCTTTTATAAACACATTTATTTATTTATTTATAACTTTATAATATTCTTACCAATCCATAATGGTTTCTTTTCCGCTGTACGATTAATAATTTTGTACAGTTCGTTCTTATTCGCAGCCATATTATCGTAATGCATGAAAATGCTGTCATTGTTTAAAGAGACACTAGCAAAATCGCTGAAATTATTGCCAATAATTTCAATTAATCTTTTCCATTACTTTAATTATTCTCATAATTTTTATTAAATATTTTGTTACATATTTAATTTTGTTAATATTTTATTATTTTGCTTTAGTATGTTATTTTATGTAACATTTTTATGTTATTTAATTTATTGTAAATTACTTACAATTAATTTAATTTATTGATACTAAAATGTGTGTGAGTTATATATAGATATATTTTATGTATAATTATCATAAACTATATATATATAGAGAAAAAAATATATTTATCAACTTAATGTAACTTTCTTGTAGAATTATTATGTAATTAATATATTCATAAAATTATAGAAACACTTACGGATGCCACGTAATCGCCGAAAGGGCAGCATCTGCCGAATTCAAATAATCTTGAAGATATTTCTGTTGTTGCGCTGTTTCATACGCCACAATATCTGGTCCTGTGATTAAACTATTTGAATATCTCGGGAAAATCTTCAGCATTTCGCGGAAATTTGCGACATATTGTCCTAGATCTCCACCGGATAGATTACATTTAGTTTGGCATTCTGTGAAAAATATTTTATAACAATTAAAAATAGATTAGACATATTTGAAAAATATATTGTTTTGTAAAAAATATATATTTTTTATAGAACAATTCCTAAACTCGAATATATTTAAAAAGAAAAGTAGTTTTCAAAAATATTTAAAAATATTAAAAATGATCATTATTTAAAGGGGATCCTAAACGTCCTTAAGAAGTCTGTTGTTTTTTTTCCTGTTTTATAGACAAAATGTTAGAGATTAGATAAACTATAAATCTATTTATTGGCTATACGGGTTGTTTTTTACCTGAAATTAGACCAGGCCAAATTTGGCATTGGATAAAGGAATATCAGTGAATGTTTAGATATCAATTTGGAAGCCTAGTAAACGAGAATAATTCATCCTACATTTTCATGTGTGCACGAAAAAAATAATTGTCGATAAAAGAGGAAAAAACAGACTTCTCAAAGACGTTTAGAATCTCCTTAAGCGGTTTTAAATATTAAATAATATTATGTTAATTTAATTTTATTTGTCATCGTTCTAAAAATATATATAAATAAGGATTTTAGAGATTTTACCATAACCCAATTGCCAGCTGATGTTGTATCCCATGAGATCGCTCAAAGATAGAAGCTCCGTTATGTTCATCGAATTTTTCGAATGCAGTTTCGATTCGTTCTCGATATATCGAGGTGCGATACACACGATTAGATCCAGTCCAACGTTTTTCGCCCATTGATATATTAGTGACCATTGCTTTCCTGCAAAATTCAAACTTTATAGAACGATCTTAACAGAGAATAGTGATAATCCTGTAAACACACATCTTATTATATATTCGTTATTCGTGTTCGTATAATTATATATTCGTGAATAACGAATAACGATTTATTAAACATTTTGTAAATTTGCAAATATTGCAAATGCGAGTATGATCGTAATAAATGCAATTGCATTAATTAAAACAGAAATTTTTGTTCAAATAAATTAGTTACTTAAGAAATAATTAATCTAGTTACTTCCTACACAGCTTTAGCTTTTTAAACGACAACTTTTAATTAAAATAGAGAGAGAGAGAAAGAGAGATGCGTAATGCGATTAATAAATAAAAAGTTATATTTCAGGATTAATTGAAATAAACTGATTAATGATTAACCAATGATTTGTTAAAAATAATTTTATATTTGCAATTGCAACAGAAAGTGATTAATAAAATGATTATTTATTTATTATGATTATTTATTCTACTTAATGTAATAATATTTCATTTGAAATCACAACTCGGCAGGCACTTTACGTATACAAATATATATTTTTGTTTTCTTAATTTGTATACACGTCAATTGATTCGCTACCAGCCCATGTTTAATAATTTAAATATTACATCAACGCTTTTGCAACTCGGGATCATACTATTATCTCGGAGCTTGTCGACGTTGCATTATGACACTCGCTCTTGCCATCAAGGCTAATGGACGTGCATATAATTACTGGCAACCTCAAAATGAATTAATGACATTAGCATTACGTCACCGCGCCATCGTCCTCATCCATTGACATCGTCCTTGCTATCCTTTCAGTCTGTTCGCGACGATTAGTCATATGATGAGGAAATTAGAATATTGATACATCCATTAAAAACATGTATTAACACAATTAATCTTTAATTTTTGGTTGAAGAATTTACTTGTCATTGTTATTGTCTCATTTTTGCAACGCAATTCTTGCAATCTAGCCTTTTTCTTATATTTATATACATAAAGCATATCAATGTAGTGTTGCATTAAATTGTATAATAAAATTTTTTTATATGATGTAACTTTAGTTTTTATATTATTATTTTATTTTATATATTATATATTTACAGGGTTGAATAATAACTAGTTAAAAGTTAAAAAGAGTTAAAAAATTGATAACTTTTAACTTAGCTTAGTTAATTTAAAATGTATTAATTTTTAACGTTAACTAGTTATTTTTTATCTTAAACTTATTAACTTTATTTTAAGTTAAATTTTTTTATCTCTGAATACCATTATTGTTTTTTTGAAGTGTATTATTTGAAATTATAAATGTATTATTTTTAATTAAAGTAATATTAATTTTTATGTTTATTTGTCATCAATTGTAATTATCAAAAAATATATTTTTTATTGTATAAAAATCAAAATTTCTTTGTTATTTATCATTATAAATTTTAAAAGAATTAACAAAGTTAATTTATAAGTTTTAATTTAATATAAATAATGTTTTTAAAAATTAACTTTTACTTTAAGTTCAGTTAATTTAATCTTAACTGAATTTTAACTGAGTTAATTTTTGGTTCATGCAACTTTTAACTTAACTAAATTAATTTTATAAGCAACTATAACTTTAACTTAATTTAGTTTAAAAAAATCATTAATTTACCCAACCCTGTATACTTATAATTAATTATTTTATATATTATATAATAATTATTTTAGTATGTATATAAGTTATTTTTTTAATTAAAATGTGATAGACTCTCATAGCTTTACTTAGAAAAGCTACAGAGTAATTAGAATCTACAGAGAATCTACTTAAGAGAGAATACTTTGATATATAATACTTTACCAAAAACCGTGTCATTGGAATCGATGTCATTTGAATATGCTTGCTCGAAGACATAAGAGTTGCTTTGTGATCCTCCAAGACGAACGTAAGCAGGCACCAAACCTTGAGCCATATTCGTGCTTCTCTCGATATTCTTGCTGAATAATTAATACAGATTGTATGATTACGCATTTTTTTGGTACACTTTTTTGTGCATTTTTTCATACACATGTTTAATTATAAAAAAAGATATAAATTATAATAAAATTCAAACTTTATGAATATATAATTGTATTATATTGCGACTATATGGAAAAAGCTACATATAACAAAAATAATCCTAAAAAAATTGATATTTTGTTGGCAACAATGAACAATTTTTAATAATACTGTAACTTCTATGTTTAGAATATCTGATAAAAAATCAAGATATTAATTGAAATAAAAAATTTGAGAAAAATTAATTTTTTTCCAAAAGATTGACAAAATATTAACTAAATTTTTATCAGTTCAATAAAATATCGATTTTTACAAAATAAAATTATTTATAATTAGTATTTTTTTAATGTGTTTGTAATTTTTTTCTTGTTTATAATTAATTAAATACTTACGTGAGTTCGTCGATGTTATCCAGCAACGTTACCGGATCCAATGTAAAACTGAGAAACGCATTGCTAGTTACAGCAATTGGCTTTTTGTAATTTACATTAAGTATTAAATTTTCCGCGAGGCAATTCGCGATGAAATAAATTACTTGCAGAAGCAAGCAAATATATCGTCGGTGATAATTCATCTTTACTCTCAGAGTTGCTTGTTACATTTAATTAATCTTGATTCTTATTCTACTTCACGTATTAATTTGGCACACAATTTAAAATATTTTATCTCTTCTAGATCTTACATTTTTTCTTAAATATAAAAAATATTTATTATAAAATACAGATATATAAAAAGAAATTAATGCGTATTAAAAACTGCGACAAAATTAAGAGAACTTAAAATATATATAAGGATATATAAGAAATACATAAAAAAAATTGAAAAGTGCGTAAAAATTTCGATTATATATTCGCAAAAAATCACGTAATATACGTAAAAACCTAACACAGTAATTCGAGAGACCTTTTTGTGCGTACTGAGATGTCAGATGCATGCGAAGTCGATATTTCTGAAATTGTGTCACGATGAAAATTGCTTAGCCCAAGTTTTGTAATTGGAATTTGATTGCATAAACAGATAATGCGCACACACAGCAAACATGTGCTAATTGTATTTCGATGAAATTCTGAATTTCTTTAGCAATATAATATTATTATTATTTAATGCTGTATTTGACAATAAATATCGATATTTTTAGCATCGGTTTAATTTATATTCAAATTTATATTTAAATTTATATTCAAAAGTTGTGACTTAAAAAAAATTAGTGCGTACAAAGTTGAAAAGTTCTAATGAAAGTTTTAGATAAAATTATATAATAATTTAATTATATTTTGACTTTTTTTTAATGATTTATCATGGAAAGAAAAATATATCATACATTGAAGGGAAAAACATTGATTTTTAGTTCTGTCACGCAAATATAGGATCTGGTGGGGGAAGTATTGGATGAAATAAGAAAATAAAATGCATTTAGTTATATATATTTTCGCTTTTTATTAATTTTCAACAAATATTTCGGATTAGAATCGCTAGAAAAAAACAAACGTAAAGTTTTACTCGAGCAGTAAGCGTCTCCTCTACTGGGATACATTTTTTTTCGAGACACCCTGTATATCCTGCGAGAGTGTATACTTGTGTGGGTGAATGTTGGGTGGTTACTTAATATCTAAGAGTTATATACATACATACATATATATATGTGCATATACATATATATGTATATATATATAATATATATATCTAACAACAATATAATATTATCATCGTTTGCCTCCTTCTTCCTTCTCCTTTTTTTTACTTTGTTTTTTTTTAATGTTTACATAATACATTATTATTATATTCAACAATAAATCCGTTTGTGTCATTCCTTTATCGATTAGATTAGCCGCTACGCACTGCTACTTTTATACAAGAGTTTTACTCCTCTGCTATCATCTTTTTTTTTGCTTTGCTTTACTTTGTTCACGCGAGCGCTCTCTGTTCTTTCTTCAATGTTCTTTTCTACATCCGCAAAATAATCCTTTGATGCGATATAATTTCAGAGAGATTGAATGATCCAACAATTAAATTCGCGCGTAAAACAGAACTCATGTAAATTTTAATATCTAATTTATTCGTCTAAATCAACACTAACTTGTTCAAAATAAAATCCTAAATCTACATATTTGTCCAAACGATGTATTTGATTCTTTCAAAAATATTCGTATTATTGGGATTTTTTATTAAAATATGTTATGAAACATGAGACAGAACATTAATTCTTCTTCAAAATATTTCTTTTCAAATTTAATTGTCAGATCGCATAAATACAGATTCGAATAGACCATCAGAAAATTATAAGTGAATTTAATATTGACAGTGTTTTTTTTTAATGTCTTTTTACCAAGATGTTCAATAATTAATATGTTGCAGATTCTATTTGTTTATCAATTAAAGTTTAAAATATGTCAGCAATTAAAGATCCATATGTTTCGGAATTATTGATTTTATGATGCAAAAAAATCGAAGGTATTCGAAAATGTATAGAAAAACATGAAATGTTTTGCAAATCAATGAGTTTGTTCGCAAGTTTCCTAAAAATCCAGGCTTTTATGGATCATTCACGACTTTCCCATTCATACTCCGAGCAAGCTTCGTGCGATTCTCGTTCATTTCTTGTTTTCTTCTCACTCTCTACTCGATTTGCTGCTAAAATTCCCAAACAATTTTATTCTAAATCGTTCTAATTTAAGGGCACCTTTTCGCAGATATCTGCTAATAAAAGAAAATAAGCTCAGATTTACTTTTAATATATCTCAAGTTACAGATTAGATTAACCCAAGCTTAATCTCTTACGCAATCATCTCTTCATTTTTCTCTTTCAATCCTTTTATTTTATAATATTTCTGAAATAAAATATTCAGTTTTTGTTTTGAGATGTTATAAATCTCTCTCTCTCTCTCTCTCTCTCTCTCTCTCTCTCTCTCTCTCTCTCTGCGAAAAGTTGTCACGAAAGTTTTCAGATTTTTCGCTGTTTTAATCCTAAAATTCTAGTTACTCTCTCAGTAAATAATCAATATAATTTAAAACGCTATTGTTCTTCTCGAAAGAGATATATACATATATACATACATATACATGTTGCGTATGTGTGTCTATGTATACATATATGTACGTATATGTTTGTGTGATAAAGTAGTATAATGTTAAATTATAATTTTATTTCTCGTAATTTTTTTTAGAGTGAAATGTGTCTAACAGTTTTTTATATAATATAAAACACATAAAACACGAAACCAAAGTTGGTCAATAACCTCGTGTTAAAATTCCGGGATGAGGTTGATCATTTTTTATTTACTTAAACACTCGATTGATAAATAGTAATTGTAGGCATCGATAGTATTGCTTCTCGGTTTAAAGAAATCACGAAGAGTCTGGTCCGCAATAACAATATATCGAACATACGCTACCGTCAAGAACAAATACGACAATTATTAACACTGAATAAGGCAAAAGATTCTATTCAAACCGTCAAAGAAGCCTGTCACATTAGTTTTTTAATCTGTTAAGAATGATATCTCTCATAACTTTATTCCTTATTATATTCTATTACTTCAAAATGAGAACGTAAGAGGTTACGTTCAATTCTAAAAATTAAAAAAGAGAAGTTATCTTCATTTTATTACTTCTTTCTATACATTTAGCATTTCCTTTCTCCCTCTTAAGTCTCTCTTAATCAAATTTGGTTGTTAAATAAATTTTTCCATCTATTTTTTTATTCCATATATTCAGGTAGCAAGCGTACGTCATTTTGACGTCAAATGACGTCATTGATCGTCAAAATGACCGTCATTTTGACGTTCAGTGACGTCAGTTTTGCTATAATTGTGACAACTTGTTTGATGGTTTAGCACTCCAATAGGTTTTAATAACAGAAACATACTATTATCAATCAACATTAGACAAGTTTTAATCTAAAACAATTTATACAATCTTCAAACATTTGAATTGCACAGTTCAAATGTTTGTTGTACAATATTATGAATAAGAAGTGATCGCGTTTACAAAAATGCGATTTTTTAATATAATAATAATAATAAATTTTCTAAAAAGTAAGTGCAACTTCAACAATATACAGAGCGATCTTAGATCAATGACATTTTCTCTTTGATCTAACCATCGATTTTATTGTTAATATTACATTATTAATTGATTTTGGCAAACTCACATTTAGCAAGTAATGTCAATATATTTCTTTTATATAAGCAATTGAAAATAAATTTTTGAAATTACCATCAGACAAAAGTTTTATTACACATTAATATAAAACAATGTTTAATTTAAAATCGACTTATGTATTAAAAATTTTTATTATTTTTAATATATTATAAGAAATTATTTAATATATTATAAATATATTATATAATAATTTAAAATATTATAATATTGAAAAAGTTTAAAATTATAAGAAAGGTAATTTGATATTTTAAGGATAAGGAAAGATAATTAAAATTCTGAAAATTATAATTTGAAAATCATTATTATTCCGAAAAATTCTGCGAATCGATGAAAATGCGATTGATCTAGATATCTTGTATACACGATTCCGATGACAGCGGCAATAACAATAACTCGTTTCCTACAAACATCGCACAAGTTCGCTCGGACATGTTGGTATAACGAATCATTCCTAACTTCAAATGGCAGTCGAAAAATGCGGAGTCTTTTTAACACTTTTCCTTTCGCAATTCATTCATCAATCAATTAATCTCTCTCTCTCTCTCTCTCTCACTCTCACTTCTCTTTCTCTCTCTCTCTCTCTCTCTCTCTCGTTTCCATAAATATTCTCTTAGCACTCTTTTATATATAAATCTAAAGTACCTAGTAACCTACTCTTCTTAACGACATTTGGTTTGTTAATTTCATCCTTAATGATGTATCTTGTTTAACGCCTAACTTTTCTAGTTACAAGTGTTCCTGAACTATCACGCTTCTCATAATTTTAGAGGGAAAATGGAGGAGAACGCGGACTCTTGTTTGAATGTCGGGAAAGAGAGGAGGGGAGGAGGAATTTTCATTCAAACATTTGTACATATTGTACCTTCTTGTCTCGCTAAAATCGAGAGAAATGTGAGAACTCGTGAACAAACCTGTACAAAATGATCATCATCGTCATCACCTCTCGCGATGTGAGTGATCGTATATATATATACATATATATATATATATATATATATATATATATATATATAGTATAATCGATTAACGTTAATTTTATCATTATTACTTTATAATGCGTTGTGTCGTTGTCTCTGAATAGCCAAGTCGGTGTTCGCGAATTTCCCAAACGTTCCTCGAGATTCTGTATCGATCAATTTTTTTGAAACAATTTATTTTTTCAACGAATAAACCATATATAATTTTCGAATAATAATGTACTAATATTTCGGTAGACGAGATTAATATCGTAACGAAAAGAGGTTTCAACATATCTTGAAATCTGTGTGTTATCGCATAATCTAAAAACTTGAAGAATTCTCGGATCTAGGAATTCGAGGATCTATATATAAATCCTACATGAGAGAGACGCGCTTCTGCGAATATCTAAGAGTTCAACAATCTACATTTCCAAGGATATAAGAATCCGTAGATCCGAGAATTCGCTTAAGAGGATATATCGAATTAGTTCTATTTTATCGATCGAAAAGTGAGATTAAATTCGACTATATAAATCTATTTATACAGATTATTTATTACCTGAAATTATAAGTTA